ATTGAAGTCAGGCCTAGTATGAAAATACCTCGCACGGGAAAACGGTAGCTTCCTACCGCATTGGAAGTCATGTCCGGGTCCATGATCATGGGAACGGTAGCTTTCTGCCGCATGAAAGTCACGCCCGTGTCCATGATCAGGGGAACGGAAGCTTCCTACCATATGAAAGTCACGCCTGATATGGAAACGCCTCACACGGGGAACGGTAGCTTCCTACCGCATGAAAGTCACGCCTGGTATGGAAATACCTCGCACGGAGGAACAGTAACTTCCTTCAACATGGAAGTCACGCCTGTGTCCATACTCGGGGGAACAGTAGCTTCCTACCGCATGGAAGTCGCGCCCGTGTCCATACTCAGGGGATCGGTAGCTTCCTGCCCCTTGGAAGTCACGCCTGATATGGAAATACCTTACAGGAGGGAACGGTAGCTTCCTACCGCATGAAAGTCACATCCGTGTCCATGATCAGGGGAACGGTAGCTTCCTGCCGCATGGAAGTCACGCCCGTGCCCATACTTGGGAGAACCGTAGCTTCCTGCCGCATTGAAGTCAGGCCTAGTATTAAAATACCTCGCACAGGAAAACGGCAGCTTCCTACCGCATGGAAGTCATGTCCGGGTCCATGATCATGGGAACGTTAGCTTTCTGCCGCATGAAAGTCACGCCCGTGTCCATGATCAGGGGAACGGAAGCTTCCTACCATATGAAAGTCACGCCTGATATGGAAACGCCTCACACGGGGAACGGTAGCTTCGTACCGCATGAAAGTCACGACTGATATGGAAATACCTCGCACGGAGGAACGGTAGCTTACTACCGCATGAAAATTATACCCGTGTCTATGATCAGGGAACGGTAGCTTCCTACCGCATGAAAGTTACACCGGTGTCCATGATCAGGGGAACGGTAGCTTCCTGCCGCATGGAAGTCAGGCCTGGCATGGAAATACCTCGCACTGTTAGAACAATGCTGAACTAAGAGGGCCTGTGCCTCGCCGTGCCCTTGGTTTCACGAGTACTCGTGAAATTTGCCAGGGTCGTGAGTGGTTGTTGAAATGTATATGCCAGCAGTACATTTCTTAACATTCCAAGTGTCAAGTGAACCTTATACAGGGTGACTCACATGCAGAAAGGTGTTTAACATATTGTTACAACATGCAAATAGTTTCCTTGTACATAGATGTCCCTCTCACTATCGATCATAATGCTCAGAGATAAAATATGGATTTGCATCTTCTTGCCTCCCATCACGTTTAATCATCGTGAAGCATTGCTGTCTTTACGACACGCCGTCATTTCTCGTTAACCCCTCCCAATCTCCTTGATATTGATTACTTAGTTTGCAAGCAATCCTGAAACTCTGAGAGCCAAAGATATCAATTTACCATGGAGCTTAATAAATGGAAAATGGGTCATTACTAATGTTCGTCATTGATCATCATGTCGGTAGGACCTTTATCTCCACGATAAGGTATGTTGGTCAATTTTTTTATTATAACCTCGTGCTCTGTTTGCGTCTCATTTGTGCTGTATACAGTTTCCAACATAATGCGGCTGTCAAGAAATCATTTATGGCCAGCTAAACTCCATTGTTACAATGAGGAATGCTGAAAGCACCTTTTGCGCAAAAGTCCGCCTTGTTTCAAACCAACCGCGTTTCGCTTCAAACAAAAAAGAGGAAAAACGTAAAAAGAATGACTGGGTTTCTATTCGGTCGTCTCTTGTTACGCTTTTGGTTAGTGAATGGAACTTCCACATACGATCTCGTTAATGATATTTTGTTACGTCGTTTCGCCTAGATACTCGTCGACGTTGCTGTGCACAGAATCTGCAGACAGCAGGCATCGTTAAGGATTGATTGTCAACATTTTTTCTTTGTTTTTACTTACGGAATATAGAGGTATCCTAGACAGACATATTAATATCACATTAGTGATGATTGAGTTCACAAAAAGCGTTTCATTTAGTTAATAACTACTGTGGTTTCACGTGGTGTTCCGCAAGGGTCAGTTCCTGGGCCTCTGATATATTTAATTTATACGATGCTTTGCACTCTTGAGTGGAGTTTTGGTCTATGCTGTTGATACACAGTTATTAATTCATCTCAGTTCTAATTAATATTACAAATTTTTGCAAAATACATTGCCTCAGGATCAGTCCGGAAAAGAGCTCAGCATACGTATAATAAAATAAAGGACGCCATGATATTGATTATAAATAACGAGCGCCTACCCTTGGTAGAATATTCTAAAACCTGGAAAAGATTTGGACAAAAAATTGTTGAAAGCTTGATCCTGTGATCTTTACAATGTTCTTTAATTTTGTTCTGTTCTTATTTGGAGTCGTCAGAACGTTTTTCTACATAGTCGCCATTTTTTCTACGCATCTTTTGAGACGTGAAAACCACTATATGGGTGAATATACGGTGTTTGAGTTTTCACTTTCGACTAAGAAAAATAGCTTATTTTGTTTTCATATTCATTGATATGTGGTACATCGGTATTCAAATGGGTGGACTGGGGGTGATATTTAAACCATAAAAAAGATATTTTAAACATTATATAAATACCATTATCTAAATAAATGCAACAGTTCTTTTTTCCATCGGTTTTGTATCAAGAAAATCGTATAGATTGAGAGCTCAGAGACCCGCAGGGCAACTTTTGTGTTTGGGGACTAGAATTTTTTTTGATAGCGGGTCGCAGCCGGTGCTTTCATTGTTTATAATATTTTTTATTATGAAGAAATGAGAAAAAGAACAAGATTAAAAAACGATATAAAACTGTCAGTGACACCAGGGTGATGATAAAAACGTACATAATCTCCTCGCAATAAATTCACACATCTCTTCAATAGCTGCAGCTGCTGGGAAAAAGCTAGGCTATTTGTTTAGGGCTAAGAAGTACTTTTCTCCGCATGACCTTCTCACTCTATACAAGGCCCAGATAAGGCCTAGCCTCGAGTATTGCTCACACATTTGGGGTGCTGCCGCCCCGACTACATTGTCCATGCTCGATGCTGTCCAGAGGAGGGCGGTCCGACTGATCGATGACTCTTCTCTAACAGACAGTCTCGGGACTCTTTCGCACCGGCGGGCCGTCGGCGATCTAGCTCTTTTCTATCGCTACACCAACGGGCTTTGCTCCTCAGAGCTCTCTTCCATGATGCCGCCGCGCGATGTGCCTGCCAGACAGACCCGCCTGACTTCGGCGTCCCATCCTAACCGTGTCAAACTTCGTACATCCAGAACTGGCCGATACGACCGCTCCTTTATCCCGAGGGTATCTAGATTGTGGAACAAACTACGGGAGGAAGCTTTTCCCAGTTCTACTAACCTTAGGCAGTTCAAAAATCGTATTAACAAAATTTATTTGGGATCATCATAGCAGCCGCGGTGTTCCGGCATTTAGGCTTCTGCCTGCGCGGCTGTTTCGATATAAAAAAAAAAAAAAATTAAAATGCATTAATTATCATATTATTGTATACTAAGTGACATATAAATCCGAACACCCAGTTTAAATGGTTTTATTTTAATAAAAGTTGGTGAATGTATTTATCTTACTGTAAATAACAAGTGAAAAAATTTTCAGCCTTATCAGTTGGACATTCCGGTTTTTATACTGCTTTTTTTTAATTCACTAACGCTCTAAAAATGAATATTTCAGCCGCAGTAAAGAATCAACGTTGGCGGATTTTGGTTCTTGACATTCTTTACGATCGGTTACGATGCCTAGAGTACGGAGACCTGTACGATTTCGTCAACTTAGTGAGTTTGATAGGGGCCGTATAGTGGGACTTCGGGAAGCTGGACTTTCTTTTCGGGCAATTGCAGTTAGAGTGCAAAGAAGTGTAGACACTGTGGTTAGGTGTTGTCAGGCATGGCTTCGAGAAGGCCATACGCAAAGAGCAAGGGGCACTGGACGCCGCCGTAGAACAACAGACCGTGAAGATCCTAAGATTATTGGCCTTAAGGTACCGTTTCTCCACTACCAGGTCCATTGCAAATGAATGGTTTGCAGAACACGGAAGACCTATTGGCATGCGAAGTGTTTACCGACGAATGAGAAGTTTTGGCTTGTTTTCATATCGGCCACACTGGGTTCCTCCCTTTAACTCGAGAACACCGACGTAATCGCCTTGAGTGGTGCAGACAACTGTCACTCTGGGATCAGGAATGGAACAGTATTGTCTTTAGTGACGAGTCTCGATTTTGTTTAGGCATGCACGATGGTCGTGCCAGGGTTAGAAGGCGACGTGGTGAAAGGAGGAATCCACAGTTTTTTGTTGAAAGACATGTCCATCACACTGTTGGAGTTATGGTTTGGGGTGCTATAGCTTATGGTTCCAGGTCACTTTTAATCTTCATCAGAGGTAACATGATCGCGCAGCGTTATATCCACGAAGTTCTAGAACCCCATCTTTTACCCTATCTTGACACCCTGGCAGATCCAACTTTCCAACAAGATAATGCCCGACATGTTGCAAGAGTCACAATAGACTTCTTTCAACATAATGATGTCACATTGTTACCATGGCCACCAAGATCTCCCGACTTATCCCCAATTGAGCACGTGTGGGATATGATGGGTAGGAGATTGCTCAATTTGCAACGTCCTCCTCAGACTCTAGAAGCACTTCGAGAGGAGTTGGTGGTTGCCTGGAATGAGATACCACAGGAGGACATTGACCACCTGATCAGAAGCATGCCTAGGCGCGTTGGAGAATGCGTAGCACATCAGGGTGCATCCACATATTATTAAAGGTCAAAGGGCTTTAAAGCAGTGCAATCATTTTGAAATTTTTATCATTTACTTAATATGCTTCACTAAGTACTTATACAAAATTTTATTAAAATAAAACCATTTAAACTGGGTGTTCGGATTTATATGTCACTTAGTATATGTAATTCCTGACCTTTGTATAAAAGAATCGCAGTCATATTGTAGGGTTGAACATTTTCTTTGTTGTATTAGGCACATACCAAAATTATTTATCACTCACCGTTCCTTTTCAGATATGTCGCCATCGGTCCTTAATCGCTTGACCTGAAAGTAAAAACGTGGTTTAAAATGAATAATGAAGCTTAAAATCCGTTTCACGTAGTTAAAAAAATATTTCAATCAAAATTATACAAACACAGGCCGAGATTTTTGACCAGAAACCACGGTATTCTTTCCAAAATCTCTCAATTGGCTCTAGTTTTCGAGATATTCTAACCTAAAAGTGAAAAGATAGCGATACAAATTGCCTATATTTGAGGTTATATAGCATGGCGTATTATTGTTTTTTCAAAAACCCATAGCCGTCATCTCAAAACAGAAGTTTTGGACTTTCAAATGCTATTGAGTTTACTTTACTATGTTTTTTTTTCACCGAGATATGACACTTTGTAAATTTATCTGAATTTCACTATAAATGGTTCACGTAATGGTCGCGTTGTGGTTTGGATTATAATACACCAAAAATTTAATAAGTTAGTGCATAGTTATGAAATAAGACCTACCAAATAAAAAAACACTAAGCACTAAAATCCATAAAATATCGCAAAATCGTTCTCTTGTACCCTTGTCCAAAAACCACATTATCGCTGTCCTCCTTTTTTTGCACAGGGCAGGCAATCTATACTAGAAAGGCTGTGTTCCAAACACATGGTTGTCATTAGTTGGATTTATGGTAAAAGGACCGAGGAATTGTCACTTTTTACAAGGGTTTTTCTGATGGCAGGCCACCAGATGATTTACAATACCAAGAAGTCACTGCTCCTTGATGTTGGCATCTGGTCTGGATAATGACCATCGAGGCTTTGTTAAGAAGAATTTTCGGATGCAGAATAGGATAGAGGAGTATTTAAATAAAAAAGATATGACAACAGCTTGTTGTCAAAATTTCTATAGAAGGGAATAAGAGAAAAGAAATACAGGGTGGCGCATCGAAAACGAAACAGACGCATTTACTGGCAGCTCAGTTTTTTTTTGAAAAAACGCTCAGATCCGTCGATTTTGTTTTCGAAGCTCATGTATTTTACATCATTATAAAGGGAATTGAAAGACCTTTAAATTAAGCTATCACTCGACCCCCTTTTTTCAGGGTTGGTGTCACCCCCGCTTAGGGGGCTGCACGTGCTAACGTGATTTTTTCCCAAACTTGTGTCCGCCTCGAAAACAAAATCGACGGGTCTGAGCGTTTTTAAAAAAACTGAGCTGCCAGTAAATGCGTCTGTTTCGTTTTCGATGCGCCACCCTGTATATTATCACTGCTTTAGAAAAAAGGCGATCCTTTGCGTATTTTTAGCAAGTTATGATTTTTAACGACGAACTTGATGCATGAATACTATAGCTAAGCGTAAAAGCGGCAGTTGAAATTTTCTAGATGGTGGATACACGCCATGTTGGAACATTTTTTAATGGAATCTCATTTTCGGAATTTTTCGCAATTACAATACTTCCTCGCCAGTAGGCGTGAAAAATGAAAACTTGGGTCTAGAAATTCTCCACTTCATGCTTTGTTTATGAAACAATTTTCCTAACAGCATTTTAACACCCTGTATAGTGCTGCATTGAGGACATAAAAAGACGAACATATTTTTTCGACAAAGTTCCGGTTTTTTCGCATTGTCGATTTCATAAATATGATACTTGTTTTGTCCAGAATCGTGTCTAACTATTCGTGAATTTGAACCTCAAACTTCTTCAGAAAGAAAAAAGAAAAAGATCGACAACGAGATAATGGTGAAATGTAAGGTATAAAGAGCTCCGTGGAATGCTGACAAAGAATACCTTTACAGATTATTGTTGAGCAGATAAAATCTCGGAACTCGGAACGAATGTAGACAGAGAGAGGACTTTTGTGGATATACAGTTTTAGGATTCTTGCACTAAAATGTGTGTTTAATAATGCTTATATAGCCATAGTTATGGTGGATTATGGCATTAAATTCTTGTTGATGTGTTTAGTATCTCTATATACAGGGTGTTTCAGTTTATTCACAGGAGAGCTTTTTTATGTTGAAAAGTGCGAAGAATGAGTTTTTTATTCAACAAGCAAAAAATTGCACTAAGAAAAAAATTTCGGTCATTTTAATACACTACAGGTACAGTAGAGAGCGCCCTCTAGCGGCTACAGTAAAACTATGCGCATGGTTCGATTTTTCGTACCAAAAAACCCTTGTATACCAATTTTCACTGTTATACATCAAATACTGTTCGAAATATTTAAAAAAAGAAAGTAAATTTAAACACCCTGTATTTCGGAAGCCACGCATTTTCCGACCCATGTTTATATAGACTTTGAGCATTAATTTTAAAAGTTATATCGAATCTTAAAGTTATGCAACAATAAACTGAAATACCCTGTATAAATGTGGATGTCCATTTCTATTTTTTTTTTGCTTTTTTATCCGTCATCGCTGTGCCAAATCCATTTCATCCTTGGCATATAGTAGTAACCCTTTGTGGAAATTCGATGGAACAGAACGACAAAAATGGGTGACATGGTTTTTCGTGATGTTATATTAGCGCGTCCCATGATGAAAATTCTTTTTTTTTCAAACGCATATTCTCTATTTTTTTCCAACAACAAAATAAATATTATTGCGAACGGAGAACGAGAACCCGGTCATACTTTGAATTTGAAAGTTAAGAGGGAAAACATGAATGGATTCAAAACCCATATAACATCCAAAAAAACGGAATATCTCATTTTCGAAATTTTTCGCGTTTGCAATACTCCCTCGCCGGTAATCGTGGGAAGTAAAAAAAGACCTCTCTCCTATCGCCATCGATGGCATTTATGAATAAAGACACCGTTAGTGACACCTACGCTCCGAGAAACGATGACGTAACGTAAAGATCAATAGGCTCCCTGCGACAGTGTCGATACCCCGATAAAAGGATAAAAAATCGCCGAGCAGAGGATTGTGATGTATGGCTTGGACTAACGGTGTCATCTGCTGCATCTGGTCTGGCGAACCAGTGTACCAGTGACGCATTTTTTGTGCCGGAATAAAAGGCGTTGGTTCTATCATATGAATCTCGCTAAATTGATGGACAGAAAATATGATGGAGATTAGTTTATATATATCCTTGAATTTCTTTGGGCAGAAGGCAAAGTATTGGAAAAGTGCACTCTTATAAAGTAAACTCGAGCTTTCGAAGATCTATGTCTTCATCGTCTGGAGCTGGAAACAATTATTGACAACAGCAGGTCCAGCTCCAGACGATGAAGACATAGATCTTCGAAAGCTCGAGTTCACGGGTGTACTTTTGCAATACTTTGCCTTCTACCCAAAGAAATTAAAGGATATTTTTTCCTAACAGTTAAGGCATTTAATTATGAATACTATATATATATATTATATAACTTGAGACGTGGTCATTGTCGTCTAAACCAGTTAGGTGAAAAATTAAAGCTTCCGCCTTTTGTTGGGTACTTCGACAAAATTTAAGCAAAGAGGACTTTTTACTTTTTTTTAATTCTCTCTAGCTTTCAATGGACTTTGCCATAATCATCAGGAGCTGCAATTACAATGATAACAGTAGCAACAAAAGTGTAAAATGAATTTAAATTGAATCAACTTACAGTAGTATGTGAGGATGTTGCTAATTGTTTAACAATTTCTTACATAACATTCTGAAAATCACATCATCTGAAGTGATTTGGCACACGCCCACAATTCGTTCCATCTTTCAACACAGACATTGACAACCTTCGGCCTTCTGTCAAAGGTTCATCTCACTCATTATTCCATGACAACCATTTTGTGCAATCATCAAGTGGCTTCACGACGTAATTGTCTAATGTTTTCTAAATAATTTTTAATCTGTCTTTAACTTGTCTTATTTTATATAATTTTAACCATTGTACCATGTATACAGCTCTCACCATGTTACTGGACGTTTCCCTCATCCTATACGAAAACAACAATTAGCAACATCCTCACATACTACTGTAAGTTGATTCAATTTAAATTCATTTTACACTTTTGTTGCTACTGTTATCATTGTAATTGCAGCTCCTGATGATGATGGCAAAGTCCATTGAAAGCTAGAGAGAATTAAAAAAAGTATAAAGAGTCCTCTTTGCTTAAATTTTGTCGAAGTACCCAACAAAAGGCGGAAGCTTTAATTTTTCACCTATATGTATATATATATACATATATGTATATATATATATATACATTACACAATTAGGAGCCATAAAATGAGAGGAACAACGCAAACTTCCATCCTATGACGTTCCTGAGAAGCTTTGTAGATGTGTGGCTGGCTTTCTCTCTGGACCCAGACAAACATGGGGGTTATCATCATACGTTTTAAATGTTACATTGACGAAAGACGTCTTGACCCAGCCTCAGTAATTAAATTCTTCTTCGACATTTACAAGTTACAAAGTCACAATCTACATGTATAGCCAACGTTTCGCCTCAATTGGTATTTGGTTTGCTTGAAGTTTGCCGTACGGAACCAACGAAACGCACTCGCTGTAAAGCAAAGAAACTTGTGGTCCTTCTTGAAGAATAGAAATAAATTTCAAAGAGACAAATTACCTTGCGCTATCTACAAATCTACGTATTTACCAAAACAAATATCCCGGGCCGCAGTGAAAGGTATCCATTTAGATCGACACAGTTGATAAGGAATTTTAGTGAGGTACAAGTAGGTGAGGATGCTGATACAAATACCTACCGAGGCAGTGGACAAACTGCAACATTATTCAGTAGATTTGGATCTAATCGAGGTACTGGTTGGGAAAGCCCCGTTACCAAGGCTAGCAATATACGGATACGCATACTTTGATTATAGATTCAGAGCCGTCTTCAACTGTGTAGGGACCCTTGGGCGCAGAGGAAGCTGACTGGGCCCCAGGCTCGACTTTGCTCGTCGAGAGGATATTTTTTGAAAATTGCGTTTGGATTTCGGGCTTTTTGGGATTCCCAGCAGACAACGCCAATGGTGCGCTTGCTTAAAAAAACTCATCATTATCTCAAATAAGTTCATTTGCAGCCAATAATTGTTAGGAGCAGATAGACTGGAACTACCTAGGTACCCACATACAGTAGGTCTACGTTAACAGCCAACGCTTAACCAGCACTCTGTGATTCGTAAAAGCTTTGCATGTTCTCCATGGTTGTAAAAGTTTTGCACTTTCTAATAATAGCTATTTGAGTTTTAAAATTACTGATCTAGAGTACCTGTAATGCTTCCTGTGCTCTGCCAGGTTTCTCATTGTCCAATAGACATTATTTTACACTTGCCTGGATTAAGCATCATATCGAATGCTGTCTAAATTTTCCTGCAAAGTCTTGAAGCTGTCCATGATTTATTGATTAAATTTTCAGGTCACACTCATTCATTTGGTTTCTACTGTTATTATATGGTTGAAATCATTAACAAACATCTAAAATATTAGTGGACCCAAGTTAGTACCTTGTGGAACTTCCGTTGTTGGTGTGTTGTAGGTTAGTACCTTGTGGAACTTCCGTTGTTGGTGTGTTGTAGCCGATATATGTATTGCACAAATTGAATGCGTTCAGATAAATACTAACGGAAAAATATGAACAAGCCTTCAGAAAACCCAAATTTATACATAGTTTTAAGCACTATCTGGAGTGGTTGATTGGTTGATTCGCTCAAATACCTTTGAGAAATCCGTAAATATAACGTCCAATTGTTGCATCATAAGTTAGTTGTGGATCTTTTGTACTTAAATTACTTACGAGATGGGTTGAGGCGGAGACTAGTGACCCCCCAGACAACAGGATGACCTCGACGAAGAGGTTTGTTAAGGTGGTGGTTAGTGATCTAAGGAATAAGCCTGACCGTCGTTGAAAAAATTGACCAACCTTAGTCCAGATGATAAAAGCTTCAACAATTCATAGTAATGGACGAGACGCGGTATTTATTGAGGAGATAAACTATATAGAGATACGCTTGCTCTCTGATCCCAGATACTGGAAGGTTCCACATAGTGCGATTATTGTTCCAGTTGGACCCGTAGTTTTTGGAGATCCAGCGTTTGAGAAAGGTCCTCAATTGTGTAGGGACCCCTGGGCGCAGAGGAAGCTGACAGGGCCCCAGGCTCGACTTTGCTCGTCGAGAGGATATTTTTTGAAAATTGGATTTCGGGATTTTTGGGATTCCCAGCAGACAACGCCAATGATGCGTTTGTTTAAAAAAAATCTGTATCTCAAATAAGTTAATTTTGCAGCCAATAATTGTTAGGAGCAGATAGACTGGAACTACCTAGGTACCAACATACATTAGGTCTACGTTAACTGCCCAACGCTTAACCACCACTCTGTGACTCGTAAAAGCTTTGCATGTTCTCCATGGTTGTAAAAGTTTTGCACTTTCTAATAATAGCTATTTGAGTTTTAAAATTACTGATCTAGAGTACCTGTAATGCTTCCTGTGCTCTGCCAGGTTTCTCATTGTCCAATAGACATTATTTTACACTTGCCTGGATTAAGCATCATATCGAATGCTGTCTAAATTTTCCTGCAAAGTCTTGAAGCTGTCCATGATTTATTGATTAAATTTTCAGGTCACACTCATTCATTTGGTTTCTACTGTTATTATATGGTTGAAATCATTAACAAACATCTAAAATATTAGTGGACCCAAGTTAGTACCTTGTGGAACTTCCGTTGTTGGTGTGTTGTAGGTTAGTACCTTGTGGAACTTCCGTTGTTGGTGTGTTGTACCCGATATATGTATTGCACAAATTGAATGCGTTCAGATAAATACTAACGGAAAATATCAACAAGCCTTCAGAAAACCCAAATTTATACATAGTTTTAAGCACTACCTGGAGGGGTTGATTCGCTCAACCTTTGAGAAATCCGTAAATATAACGTCCAATTGTTGATCATAAGTTAGTTGTGGATCTTTTGTACTTAAATTACTTACGACATGGGTTGAGGCGGAGATTAGTGACCCCCCAGACAACAGGAAGACCTCGACGAAGAGGTTTGTTAAGGTGGTGGTTAGTGATCTAAGGAATAAGCCTGACCGTCGTTGAAAAAATTTACCAGCCTTAGTCCAGATGCTAAAAGCTTCAACAATTCATAGTCATGGACGAGACCGCGGTATTTCTTGAGGAGATAAACTATATAGAGATACGCTTGCTCTCTGATCCCAGATACTGGAAGGTTCCACATACTGCGATTATTGTTCCAGTTGGACCCGTAGTTTCTGGAGATCCAGCGTTTGAGAAAGGTCCGCGAGCTCTTTAGATACTGGAACTATAGACGAAGAGGCCACAGATCGGTAGATAGAAAGACACGTACTCCTTAGTTCAAAACAGTCGTCAGTGTTTTAGGAGACCTACTATATGGGGCTTTTCCGGCTCTTTGTTCCACCGGATAACTCGCAGTTTTTAATGGGACCAAGTATGGTGGGTCTTGAGACGAGAATTTCGCCCTTTAACTCCGATACGCAGGAAAATCCTCCTGGCACATGGGAGTTGGGCGGTCTCAAGCTTATGTAGGGGCCCCTGAGCATAAGGGAAACTGAAGGCCTGCGGATGAAGGGGTCCCAGACCATAGGGCCCTACTTTGCTAACTGTAGGCTGCATCCTGCACAGCCCACAGTTCTCTCTCTCTCAGACTCCTGACTCCACAGAGTTATTGATTCCACTAGGTTGTTCAAACAAGGGATGCCCACACCCAGTGACAGGATTTTTCATCTCTGGAGCCCGAAGCACAAAGTTCGTCCGTGGCCCTCGCTGGTGATACAGAGGGGTTGTGTATTAAAGCATAATGAGAACATAAGCCCCCAAAAAACCGCATTTCGGGGCCTCACACTGCTTAATATAGTATGGTTCCAGACTCCATGCTCCAACAAAGTTGGTTCTTTGGGACCCCACAGGCCCCACACTGCACTAGTCCGATAGAGTTTCAGCGGGTGGACATATGGAGGCAGTTTTCTGATCGGTCTAGAAGCTTTCAGGTCTTGGTCATGTTTAGTCCTACGAGGACGTTTTTACACCGAAGCAACAGCGCAAGCAGGAGCCTAAATGCCAAGGTACCGCGGCTGCTCCAAACACAATTCCAAACCAAACGTTGGAAGCTAGGTCTTATATTGCCTTGAGCAGAGCGAGGAGGTCATGTGGAGAAAGGTACTTCTTAGCCCTAAAGAAGTAGCTCAGCTTTTTCCAATCAACTACCGCTATCGACGAGATTAAACTGTACAAGATTGTTGCATCCCCAAGCGGTGATAACCCCCAGGTCTCTTGTCAGAGTCGCCGCTAGTCTTTTTTTTCAGTTCGGCGTGTCGCTTTGAATTCCTGCATGTAGAGTGCTGTCATCCGCAATGCTGTGGATTCGATTGATCGTACAGAAAAGGAGGTCGTTGATATGTAAGAGAAACAGTGTGCGAGCCAAGACCGATCCCTGAGGCACACCCGCGTTGACGTTGTGAGATGAAGCTAGGATGATCTGTTTGGACTTTTGATACTGGCTTAGTTCTGAAGGATACCTGGTATATATGGAAGATATAATTTGTTGTTTGGTCAGAATAGTGATGTTCCACATGGCATGAAGGATTTTCCATCTGCTTGTTTTTAAGAACGCACATGGGTAATGATATATGGCAGTGGTGATATTATTCTTGGGTCCCAAAAAATATTGACTCTACTTTCAAGAACAGACTTGGTCTATAGTGGAGTGCCTTTTGTATCATTTTGTAGACACTGTACAATGTTCGTCGCCGAACTATGGGGACATTTATAGGGCAGACTTTTTGATTCCTGAACATTCCCAAAAAACGCGGTTATGAAAATTCTGACACCGGTTTTCCTTCACGTATTTAGTTACAAATTTGTCCTTATACTTAAGTGCGTACTTAGAACTATTCAGTGAGAAAACGAACAACAAACCTTTGGCTCGCACATTTTATCGATCATTGTGCACCTGGTTGAAGTTTGTGCGTTCAGGTAATTGCAAGGCATTAAAGTCACCATATTGCAACGCTACGCTACGGTTAAACTCTCACACTCCCGACACTCGCGCACCGCACTACATCTTCAACGTCCCTATCATCATGCTTTTGTTTATGTCACTGCTTTGTTTTTGTTTATCGGACGACAACGATCGTCAATTGCCGAAGGCGCTCAAGCGGTGGTCGGGTTCCAACTGGTCTTGCGAAGCTGTAAGGCGTGAAGGAGGAGTGGTGGGGGTTGACCACGCCCGTCGCGATGCGCGGATCGCGGCGGCCAATGAGAACGTAGGAGGAGAGCGTCGGCCAATAGGAGGGGCGGGTCGTTTCGTTATTCGTGCTAGATAGCAGCACAGTAGGGGCGAGCGCAAAGTGGCCAGTTTGCTCCGTCTTTTTGAGTTTCTGCAGTGGTGTGGAGGGATGAATTGATTCTAGGCACGATGCAAGTGCAAGAGTCATCTCGTTGTTTGCTTGTATCATTGATTGATGTATTTTTCCAGGAAATATGCTGAACTTAGACGTGCATTTACAATTTCCGTGGTCGCCGCGATGTTGCCAAGTGAGTAAACCATGAAGTGCTCTTGCAGAAAGTATCAAAGTATGGCATAAATGGTCCAGGATATCATTGGATAAAGTCTCAATTTGCGTGTATCGTCGATGGTGATCTGAATACGAATTTTAAGTCCGACATAGGTGTACCCTCAGGGTTCTATTCTAGGACCTTTCCTATTCAGTCTATATTTGAATGATCTTTAAGGTACTTAGATTTATTTTATATGTTGATGATACTTCAGCGGTGATATCGAATAAGTGTGGGGCTACTTTAGAGAGAGATTGTGGAGTTTTACTGCAACATATCGACAATGGTTCAGCAGCAATCAGCTGTACTTGATTTTTAAAAAACATTACATCTAGAAAGAACCAATGGCTTTGAATAGCACTTTTAATGGCTCAAGAATCACACAAATAAAATGCTTGAGCTTGTATCTAGATGAAGGATTAAACTTTAAAGACCAGTGTGTATGTATATATTGATTCAAAGATAAACCCCAATCATGTCTCATGAGAAATGAGAATACGAACGATCCTTGCTGAAGCACAGGTAGTTTCCATTTACTATGATCAAGTTGTGACACGATTGCGGTATGCCCTATGCTTCTGGAACTTGTCCAGAAATTATTTTTGGCCCAGAAAAGCGTGGTTAGATGTACACGATCGAAGTCAGCAATAGACTTTCCTGTAAAAATACTTTTAAGCATTATAAGATTTTAACTTTACCGTCATTATTTTTGTACGAAATGGCTGTGTATACCTTTATTAACAAAAATAGGTTTTGTTGGTGTGCTGTTTGTTTTATACCCATATTTATTTTGTGTTGTTTTATTAGTTTTTACTTTGACGGATCCTATACATACATTGCGATGTTTCTTAGGATAATAAATGATTTGAATTTGAAAGTAATAAAAACATTCTCTATTTGTATGATGTATGATTTTTTTGCCTAGTATCTTTTTGGCAACACTGTTTTTGACAGATGACGCGTGAATCGTGTCTTGTGTCATTGTCAAACTTGTTCAGTTTGGTCTATAATCTAACCATGAATCGACTTACGAACGAACAACGCTTGCAAATTATTGAATTTTACTATCAAAATTCATGCTCGGTTAACAGACTGCGTCGAGCACTGCTTCCAATTTATGGGCAATTTGGTCGGCCTACTGAGGGAGCTATTCGGAAGCTTGTGACTAAATTTCGAACCCAGTTTACATTATTGGACATTAAACCACCAACACGCAGACGAAGAGTGAGGACTGAAGAAAATATTGCTGCTGTATCCGCCAGTGTTAGTGATGGCCGTGAAATGTCGATTCGCCGCCGTTCGCAGCAATTGGGCCTCTGTTACTCCACTACGTGAAAAATTTTGCGACAGGATTTGGGTGTAAAACCTTATAAGATACAGCTGGTGCAAGAATTGAAGCCACACGACCTCCCACAGCGTTTCTAATTTGGTGAATGGGCGCTGGCAAAGCTGGAGGAAGATCCACATTTTTATCGAAAAATTGTGTTCAGCGACGAAGCTCATTTCTGGTTGAATGGGTACGTTAACAATCAAAATGGCCGCATCTGGAGTGAAGACCAGCCAGAAGCATTGCAAGAGCTACCAATGCATCCCGAAAAAAACACTGTTTGGTGTGGATTATGGGCCGGTGGCATCATCGGGCCGTACTTCTTCAAAGACAACAATTGCCGGAACGTAACTGTGAATGGCGATTGCTACTGTGCGATCATAACAAACTTTTTTTTGCCCAAAATGGAAGAGCTGGACTTGGCTGACATGTGGTTTCAACAAGACGATGCCGCATGCCACACCGCACACGAAATAATGGCCCTATTGAGAGGCGAGTTCGGTGAACAGTTTATCTCACGTTTGGGCCGCCTAGATCGTGTGATTTAACGTCGTTGGACTATTTCTTGTGGGGTCATGTTAAGGCTAATGTCTACAGGGATAAACCAGCAACGATTGACGCACTGGAAGCCAATATTGAATCATTTATTCGTGAGATACCGGCCGATATGTTGGAGAGAGTGTGCCAAAATTGGACCTTGCGCATGGGCCATCTAAAGCGGAGCCGCGGCCAACATTTACAAGAAATAATCTTTAAACATTAAATTATATCGACCGTTCTATCGACTCAAATAAACATTTAATCGTTTTTTCAAATTTTTTGTGTTTTTTTTGAAAATCAAATCCTATACATCTTAAAAAATCACCTGTTATTTTAAATGAAATGGCATCATCCTTCTGACGAAAGATCAGCTCTCAACCTTCCTCGTAATCATTACTAAAATTTCGTAAAAAAGGTTAGGCAGTAGGAGTATGTAGATACCAAAAATTAACAGACGATTCTTTGAGTAATTTTAAGACAGTCTTAAAATTTAAAAAAAAATATTTTTCCTAAATATCTTAAATATCCTTTTTGTTGTGATTTGGCGGTGGTATTTATAACAATAAGAACCTAATTTAGCCCGAATTTGATTAAATCTATTAAGTTCTGTGGCATAACGTGCTTAGTTTTCAAAGAAGAAACTCCAATTCCAAATTGTTGAAAAAAAATCAATTTAACTTTGATCGTTGGTAGTGAATGTTGTATCGTTGTTATGAACATGTTGACTTTCCGTGTTCTTTGATATATTTACGGGCACATGTTTATATGAAATTTTGTACCTGATTTTTGTTCAGAATGATGACTTGTACTGGCAACATCATCGAGATCAAGAGATAAACATTGATTCTGCAAAATCTTTCGTGGAATTCAAATTAAGTCCTGCGTTTTTTAATTTTTTTGTTGTTGTTATTCTCTAGATTTTTATGCTTAACATTCCACCCCCCTCCATTTAAGTTGTTGGAGCTGAATTTGGCATTTTGATATTCTTCATTCTATTAGGTAAATAGTAACTAAAAAAAACAAATACCAATGCTATGTCACTGATACATAAATTTTTTCTCCGAAATTGTAAAAAATACCTATTATTTTCAACAGCACAATGTCTTTTACTTCGTCAATAACGACCTATTGAACTGGAACTGCCGCAAATTTGGAAACGGTTCAGGGGTTCAGGTATCCATAACCATAAAGGGTTGAATACACGCGATATATTGAAAGGAAATCTGATATTCTCGTCAATACCGTAACAGTCATGGGTTTTTGTATAAAAAAGCAATTCGTGGGAAAGGGGTAGAGTAAATGTTGAACTTTTTTAAAGCTCGGGTGTGAATTTTTCTCCTATACTGTTTTACGTTCTTCAAAAAAATGCGGTGTCATACCTCTAAAACATAAAGTGTTGTCCAATAGGGACGCATGAAAGTAAACGTCAATTTGATTTGACGTCTTTGTTTTCTGTCACCGACATGTCATTTTGTTAGTTGAATGTTTACCATTGATCGCTATGGAGTCGTATTCGATTAGAAGACCACATTAAAGTTATTCAAGAGCACTACAAAAATGGTGCAAAAATAAAAAACACGTTTCGCGCGCTTCGTGAACATTTCGGTCGCAACAACCGCCCAAACGAAACAACCATCGGTCGTCTGGTGCGTAAATTCGAGGCAACAGGTTCTGTGGCAAATCTGTCAGGCTCTGGCCGGCCAAGGAGCGTTCGCACACCGGAAAATATTGCTGTTGTGAAGGAGAGTGTGAGAGACGATCCGAAACAATCAACAACGCGTCGATCCCAAGAATTGGGCATTTCGAGAACCAGTTTGCTCCGCATTCTCGACAAGGATTTGAATGTACACGCCTACAAGATCCAATTGACGCAAGAGTTGCGTCGGGCCGACCATTTTTCGCGCCGAACGTTCTCAGATTGGCTCCTTGAACACCGCCCAATTGATGCCAATTTTTTATCAAAAATCATGTTCTGCGACGAAGCGCATTTCACTTTGAATGGGACGGTAAACAAGCAAAACTGCCGCATCTGGGCGAACGAAAATCCCCGTGAGTATCAAGAGCAGCCAATGCATCCTCAAAAATGACTGTGTGGTGTGCATTGTGGTCAAATGGCATCATCGGACCTTACTTTTTCGAACATGCGGCCGGGGACGCCGTTACCGTCAATTCTGAGCGATATCACGTGATGATAGAGGACTATTTTTTGCCGCAACTTGAAGGAATGGATATGGACGATGTTTATTTCCAACAAGACGGTGCAACATGCCACACAACCAACGTCAATATCCATAGATTGCAGTCATTTTTCGGTGATCGCGTGATTTCGCGCAGAGGAAATGTGCCATGGCCACCAAGATCGTGCGATTTGACTCCCTTGGACTTCTTTTTATGGGGATGTTTGAAAAGCAAAGTCTACGTCAACAAACCAGCCACCCTCCAAGAACTCAAACACAACATCATTGCCGAGATAAATGCCATAGAACCGACCATGTTGCAAAATGTCATTGAAAATTTCGACCATCGCGTGGACGTCTGTAAATCCAGTCGTGGTGAACATTTGAGCGATATTATTTTTCATACATAAATGGTATAAATGAACCTTCAAAATAAAGTACCCAACTTGATTTGAATATCAATCTTTCTTGTTTTAATATGCGTTTACTTTTCTGCGTCTGTTTTGGACAACCCCATACTTGAATATTCAGACACCTTTTGTTAATTTTTTATGAAGCATTTAGATGCTATTTAAAATTCGAAATAAA